TCGTTTCACCATAATTTATGTTGGGTTTCAGTATACGCAACATATACTTTAGTTAAAAATAACAATTACCTTAATTGGAACAAGAAAAAGGCACAAAAAATAAGCTAATTTTAATAATTAATGGACAAAAGAAAATTACACCAAGTCATATACAAAGAATCTTCAAAGAAGTAATTTTAATAACAATTCATTCAGATGTTTATTTACTTTTCCTGGCGATAAGGCATACGGTTGCCTACGGACAATAAGCCAGATATCCTTACAATACAGCACTGCACTTTTATTTGGAAATCATTGTCCGACCACTATATTAAACCTTAAGTACTCATAGACCACTTCGATACATCCTCTGTATTTGTTTATCTCACGTATATCTTCCGTATATTTTGTCTTTACAACCACAATATCTGCAATGTCATCGACCACTTCGAAACATCATCTGTGTTTGTTTATCTCACGTATATCTTCCGCATAGTTTGTCGTTACAACCACAATATCTGCAACATCATCGACCACTTCGATACATCCTCTGTATTTGTTTATCTCACGTATATCTTCCGTATATTTTGTCGTTACAACCACAATATCTGCAACATCGATCAGTTCGATACATCCTCTGTGTTTGTTTATCTCATGTATATCTTCCGTATAGTATGTCGTTGCAACCACAATATGTGCAACATCATCGACCACTTCGATACATCCTCTGTGTTTGTTTATCTCACGTATATCTTCCGTATATTTTGTCGTTACAACCACAATATCTGCAACATCATCGACCACTTCGATACATCCTCAGTGTTGGTTTATCTCACGTATATCTTCCGTATATTTTGTCATTTCAACCACAATATCTGCAACATGCTCAGGGAATCATAAGAAATATCCTACACGATTATTTTATGATGGCTCACCTCCCCATTGCATACATCTTAATGGGTAATATTGCATTCATATGACATTGAAATGGATAAACATTATTAGTTCACACATATTTCTACATGTATAGAGATAAAAAATACCTAGGTCACATCAAACACACACAAAAAAAATAAAAATAAATAAACAAACTCAGAATTTGAAAATACCTTTGATTTTCTTGTGCGCATCTAATGATTTGTTGGGTCAACTGAATTTTTTCGATTTCCAATCCCATATCGTGATATTGAGAGAAAGAGAGAGAGAGAGAGAGAGAGAGAGAGAGAGAGAGAGAGAGAGAGAGAGAGAGAGAGAGAGAGAGAGAGGAGAGGGAGATCGACGGGAGCGTGCTCTATAAATTGATCGAAAGAATAATGAAATTATGTCTCATAACTTTATAATTATTTTTTAGAAAATATGGGGATAATTGCGTCTGTTACGGAGGAGTGGATGACTGCAAGATTCTTGGGATTAAACTAGTGAACCGTATTTTTGATATTATTTACATCTATAAATCCCGGCATGATAAAACTTCTTTCCCATCGTAAATATGAAATTAAGATGACTAGGAGTCATAAGTATGTAAATTTCCCTTTATGTTATAGTATATTAATCAATTTGATGATAGTCCAATGGTTAAATATCCAAATCCAATTTACATTAGTTTCCCATTGTGGGATAGAATATTTGTAGGCATTTTCGCGAGTCAGAAATGTTATAAAGTCATCTATAACTTTTTGTATTGACACGTGTCTAATGTATATTTATTGCATAGCACGTGTCAATACACCACTTGTGCATAACTATGGATGCCTCCATAAGCCGAATCATCCTATGACTGCATAGCAAAACCATTTCTCGAGTATATTTGGACCTAATCATTCACATCATGTGCAATCACAATTAGGCCTAGACTAATTATAATAAGAATTCTCACTCAACAATAGTTAAAAAAATTTCCATCAATAATCTCATTACACATTCAATCAACCCCACTTGTATTAGGTGAAGGGATTTTGTTGGTTAATAGTGTTTTGATTTAAGTGCCTAATAGCACTTTTGCAGACATAATTATGTTTTATAATGTAACCCTTTACCTGTCTCTCTTTTTTCCTTCATAGGCATAATTTAAAGGTCAATGATTGAAACACCTCTCATAATTTTATCACGTACACACCAACAAAAGTCCAATTATTAAGAGCACCTCATGTATTCATTCTTGAGTGAGGCCCCTACACATATAGACATGGCCAGTCAACGGGTCGTGATGGGCCTCTCGTGTGTGACCATTAACTGCCCGTCAAAAACCAAGGGTCGGCCTGTGGAACCGACCGGGCCGGGACCAAAAAAAAAAAAGGAATCCAGACACAGCCTGTAAAGCCACGGTGCCGGTTCTCGGAACCGGTAACCTGCGGACCGACCCGCGGGTCAAAATTGGTTCCAAGAGTTCAAAAAAATTGCCTACTTTTTTACTTTTACAATGAAAAATCATACTTTTCAAAATTATATTAAAAATTTAACCAGCTAGTTTTATTGAAATTGCATGCATATTCTATAATTATTTATTTCGATGATACGCGATAACTTACGGACGCAAATGACATCAACATAATCAGCGTATTATATCATCATAAGCATGATGATTTACTCAATACAAATCCAAATGAGGGTAATTGGGGGCGTTTTGTTTAAGATTTCTAAATCTTTTTAATACTTCAAAAATTTTGGTCTATTTAATTTAAATTTTTAAAAGTCTCAAAGTATTTATTTAATTTTTAAAAAATTATTACAAAATCTAAGCTATTTAACTTATTTGATATTTGATATTGATTTCATAGGATTTATCCTGTAAATCTTAAAAAGGACCAAATCTGAAATCTCAAAACTCTCACTCAATGATTATGTGTGTAAAGTTATTTATGTGTAATACCAAACCTAACTCCAGAGCAAAAATAATATAAAAAATAACATCACGAAGCATAAATTTTTGCCATGTCAGCATCCAAAGCGTTAGAATCTGCCACCTAGGCTCAACACGTTTTGAATTAATATACAGAGAGGGATTTACCTAGTACACATCCAAATGGCAACACCTCATTACTTGCATAAAAAAATTGAAATAAAGACAAAAATCCAAGTCTTATTTACCAAGGATTTGGCCCTATAATGCGTCTCCCTAATTCACACAATGTAATATAATAAACACAGCAAATTTCAAGCACATGACATCTCAGCCCCACATGGCC